TTTCGCGTTCCGAGGAAAAGACTACTATGCCAACTACAGCAACTTTTCAGTGTCTGGAGAATCTGAAAACTACAAACTTCACATATCCGGGTTTTCTGGTAATGTAGAAGACGACATGACATATCACAGCGGGCAAGCTTTCTCAACCAAGGGCCGAGACAACGATTCAAGTTCAGGACACTGCGCCAGATATTCTAGTACCGGAGGTTGGTGGTACAATAGGTGCTATCGGGTGAACCTCAACGGAAAGTGGGGCCTTGGATCGGTCAAGGGCATGCGCTGGAGGAGTGTTACGGGACTTCAAAACTCTCTCACCTTCAGCGAAATGAAAATTCGACCATTTGTTTAGTGAAAAATTGACAAATAATTCTCAATCTTTTATTTTGTATATTATTTTACTGTGTGCAGGAATTTCCCCCCCCTGCTTAGTTACTTACTTTACTGTATCCTTCCACTTTCATCGTTTGATGTCGAGGGGAGAGGCAATTTTAGGTCAAGGGCTGGGTCCATGACTTCTGTTGTAGATTTGTTATTCTTTCGCAGGACCTGTTTAACGTCATCCAGCAAAGTTTTCCATTGTCTGCCCCTCCTCTTATATTCTGCCTCTTTGGAGTTGTATGATATAGCAGCTGGTTTATTAGGCGACATTTTTTCCCGATGCCCGAAACACTTGGTTTTTTATGTTTTGTAATGTGTTCCATGAATGCTTGCCTTTCTGTAAAATTTCGGATAATTCCATACGTTTTACAGTATTTTATAGTTACGTTAACAAATTTTCTGAGGTGTTAATTCATCTTACAGACAATGATATTCCTTTCGTGCTCTGTCTGGCATTAGTGAGTCAGTGTTGGAAGGAATAATCAGCTTTTGATCAGTTGTATTTCTATTTTTGTTGCTAGGTGTTTGTTGGTGAGTAGTGGCGACTGTTGATAGGTTACTGCATCTTTTTGGGTCTTCATTTCAATTTCCCTGTCCAATCTTTTGTCATTTGTAAATACGCTCCATGGGTATATTATTTTTTTGTATATTGAATCCCCCAATCTGTTTCAGTCCTGTACAGTCTGTGGTGATGTTTAGTGGGTCTGGGGTTTCTGCTGTGTTACATTTTTTTCTGTTTTAGCAATGCCGATTCTCATCTGATACTCTTTGTACTTTTCATTCAGGCTATTTGTGTGTTCATGGGGTCTGTGTTTAACCCTATCCGACACGCCATGGGGTCATTTTGTACCCCTGAGGGTTGTATTCTTTACCTTTAAGAATACTTCTAGTGCGAAGGTCTCTTTGTAACTTTCAGCATTTCTCAAAAAATCATTTTGACAGACTGCTATGCAATTCGTACAGATCGGATTAACGAGTAATTTCCTCCTTGGAAAGTGGTGACCCAGAGGTCCCTATGTTGTATAGATACGATAGTAAAACACGACGTACGGATAGGGTTAAATGGTGGCACAGAGTTCCCCACGTTGTATGGATACGATAGTAAAACACGACGTACGGATAGGGTTAAATGGTGGCTCAGAGTTCCCCACATCGTATGGATACGATAGTAAAACACGACGTACGTATAGGGTTAAGTGGTGGCACAGAGTTCCCCACGTTGTATGGATACGATAGTAAAACACGACGTACGGATAGAGTTAAGTGGTGGCTCAGAGTTCCCCACGTCGTATGGATACGATAGTAAAACACGACGTACGGATAGGGTTAAGTGGTGGCACAGAGTTCCCCACATCGTATGGATACGATAGTAAAACACGACGTACGTATAGGGTTAAGTGGTAGCACAGAGTTCCCCACGTCGTATGGATACGATAGTAAAACACGACGTACGGATAGTTTTAAATGGTGGCACACTTAACCCTATCCATACGTCGTGTTTTACTATCAACGCTTTTAAAAAGTAAAACTTTGCGTTTTACTCAATTTTGCTCAAAATTCTTTAAACTTTAAAAAAAACCCATAATACGCATTGCTTTTCTTTATATTGACCAGTTTGACACAGCCCTGGTTGGATTTTATTTGTAGCAAGTTTAGTTGAAATTGGTCAAAAGATGACCAACTTGTTACCCTTTTGAATTAGTCCTATTTAAAAAAAATCATACTCCCTGTATTTCTTGTGGTTTAAAATTAATGTACTGTATCCCTTTGTAATCTCATTAGCAAAGGTGAAAAGATCAAACAAGTCCAACAGTTTAAATATCTAGGATATATGATAACATCTGATGCCAAATCTTACACAGAAATAAACAGGAGAACTGCAATGGCTAAGGCTGGTTTCAATAAAATGAGCCCAATCCTGAAAAATAGAAACATATCAATGAACACCAAAATGAAAGTCCTGAAATGCTATGTTTGGTCAACCCTTCTATATGGCTGTAAATCCTGGACAATCACTAAAGACAGTGAAAATAAAATAGAGGCAACAGAAATGTGGTTTCTTAGGAGACTGCTAAGAGTATCGTGGAAGGAAAAGAAATCAAAAGAGGTAGTGCTTGATGAAGCCCACGTGGGACGCTCAATGTTAAAAACAATCAGGAAACGACAAATGCAGTTTTAGGGACACCTGAATATACATAAGGGTCTTGAACATCTAGCTCTCACTGGCAAAATTGAGGGCAAGCGAGGCAGGGGTAGGCCCAGAACAACATACTTAGGCAACCTAAATAAATGGGTAATAGGGAAAGATCAGGGAAACGTAGCTTTTCTGAGAGCATCCGAGCTAAGGAATGAATGGAAAATCATGATCGCCGATGTCTGTCGCAGATCTGGCACTGGATGATGATGATGATACCTTTTACGAACTTTGCATTGGCTTCCTGTTGAGAAAAGGATTGTGTACAAGTTGGCCACCATATGTCACAAATGTTTGAATGATAATGCACCATTATATTTATCAGATCTGTTAAGACTGTCCATTCCAACTCGCAGTTTAAGGTCATCAGCTGACAAAAAGAAATTTATTTTACCAACTATTAAAGTTAAAACAATGGGTGAAAGGGCATTTGAATACCAGGGCCCAAAGATCTGGAATGCTTTACCAAGTACTTTAAGAGAGATCAAATCTTTTGATTCATTCAAACGTCAGCTGAAGTCATTCCTGTTTCTAAATTAATACGATGAATATTTGGAATAATTTTCTTTTGTCAGAACACAAGGTTTTATGTTACTGTTGTACGTTGTACTGTATTGTAAAGCGCTCAGAGCCTGTGTACTTTAATCGGGGTTGAGCGCTATATAAATGTCCTTTATTATTATTATTATTATTATTATTATTATTATTATTATTATTATTATTATTATTATTATTATTATTATTATTATTATCATATTATTATTATCTTCCTATTTGTTGTATCATTCAGCCAGGAATTGTTTATATCTGGTAGAAGTCTCTCTGAGGCAGTCTGCTGAAGTCAGGGGCGTGTCAAATGAAAGGGAACAAAAACCCACCTCGCATGTTTCCACAGGTTTGGGAATGTTTATCCAATTTTTGTTTTTGGCTGAACAACTTTCTCGCTCATTAAAGAACACATTTCTGTAATGGACTTTACCTGAAAACATTGATTAAAGGCATAAAGGACGTAAATTTTTAGTTTCCACGCGCTCTGAAGTTAAGGAAATAATTTTAATTTTGGAGGCCATTTTCTCGCTAATTTTACTTCTCTGAAACAAGGCAATCCCCAGCACTTTCAATCGCCATTAACTCGACTTGTATTCAAGATAAATGGATATTTCTTTCATCGAAAGCAAGGCAAAAGGTTAGACTTCAAGATGATACGTATAACTCCTGCGAGGCAGCCTGGTGGAATCAGGCTCTCGTCAAAATAATGAAATCGAAGAAAACAGCAGTTTTCTCCCTGCTTATTGCTAGCAATTTTTATCCTGCCCGCCACCAACATCAACTCTATTTGTGAGGCAGCGTGGTGGAATCAGGCTCTCGTCAAAATAATGAAAATGAAGAAACTTGCATTTTTCTTCAGGTTTGTGAATTTTTATCAATTTTTTTGTTTTTTGCTTGATTAAAGGTACAATAAATGTAAATTTTCAGTTGCCACGGACTCTTAAGCTAAGGAAATAACTAATCTTTGGCGACCATTCTCTCACTAATTTTACCTCTGAAAACATGTGACCCCACCTCCTTCATTCGCAAATATCTCGACTTGTATTCAAGATAAATGAATATTTTTTTCATCCAAGTAAAGACAAGTAAATAAGCTTTAAGATGATACCAATAACTTTACATGCCCTAAAATTGACGAGAGCCTGATTCCACCATCCTTCCTCACATTTGTGTATATCACAAACATTTCCGAGCGCCTGATTCTACCGCGTCGTGACACATTTCTGTGCCTTCTTTGCATTCTGTATACAGGGGGGGGGGGGGGGGGGG